CAGCTCGTAGCATGTGCGGGGGATGATAGCGAGAGCATGTCCTGTCTGCCAGCCCCAACCTAGTTACGAGACTCGGGATTGGCATCCCTGAGAAGCCTCCTCTTCAGATGGTGGGGAGAACGCCCAGCATGATGGCCCACTGGTGTTTCATGATTGCCTGGACGCATGCGGCTCAAGCCAGGCGTTCCCCAATCGACCTGGGTTCGAAGTCCGAGCACGACTCTGAGGACATTGTCGGACCAGGGCAGCGAGCAATCCGAGTGCGGGCAGAGGAAATTCCAGTGGTGCTCTCCTTCTGGGTCAATCGCTCGCGATTCCAGCAGTGCTCTCCACTGCCGTTTGGCGGAATCCTTCGTGACTGTTCGCCTGGCCCCTCCGTGTCAAGGTATGTGGAGGACCCTTCGCCCGGCAGGCGGCAGGTGGCACCCCGGCATGGGGCTGACGCGAGTGGATCTCGAGTGGGGGGGGAGTGGGAGTAGGAGGAGGGTGAATGGGAGGATCGAGGACGGGGAGGGTGAAGATGGAGTGGGAGGAGGGTGAAGATGGATCATGGAGAGTTGCACTTCGCTCCCTTCTGGCCGCCCACTTCCGGGGAGGGGTGAGACCTGCTTTGGGAGGCGGCTGGGGGGAGCGGGAGTGGGAGAGGAGCAGCAGGGAGAGGGTGAAGGTGAGGGCAAGAGGAGCTGGGAGCTGGGAGGGAGTGGGAGTCGGGGATGATTGCACCAGTAGGAAGAAGAGTTGGAGGAGGAGGAGGGGAAGGAGGTGGATGAGGAAGATGCGGACAAGGTGGGGGAAATGCATACTGGCCCCAACCACGGCCGTCATGTGTAAGTCGTGGCGGGCAACTGCTCAAAATTTCGACCCCGCGGGGGCCCTCTCAAGCCTCAAGACAACCGTGGATCGATGGATCGTGCGAAAGTATCTGGACAACTTGGCCGAGAGCGCATTGGCACTGGTGTTATGATGCTTCATGGCGTCCACGGTCCTGGGGGTGACCTGTCCATGAGTTGTTCACTCCTCTCTGTCCCCTCTGTCTCCCTACATACGTACACACATATATCCTCGCTCATCCCTCCTCCCTCCTGCCTCCCCCCCCTCGCAACTTCTGCCCTGCCTCACCTCCATGCGGTGCTGGAGGCCTCCCAGGTGGGGTCGGAGCAGACTGGGCCCGAGGATCTCGCCGCATCGCCGATGCATCGGCGATGCATCGTCGATGCAGCGGCGAGGACCGCGTGGAGAAGATGGAGCTCCACATCGAGCCGCATCGCCGATGCATCGGCGATGCGGAGCGATCCTTCGACCTCCTCTGCTCCGACCCCATCTGGGCGGCCTGGAGGTGCTGCACGGGGCGGACGCGGGGCGCTCCCTCGGATGGTGCGCCGCCCCGCCCCCGGCGAGCCTCCAGCGCGCTGGTCTGGCCGGGGCGTCCACGACGAGACCCCTGCGGTGCCGGTGCCTTGGCACCGAGGCCTCGGGGCCGCTCGCCCCCAGGGCGCTCTTCGAGGCTGCGCAGGGTCTTGGCTGGCCACGTGGCTCACGCTGGCGGGCCTCCGATCACGCGCGACGTCGCGATCCTCGCGTGGGCTGCTGCTGTTGGACGCCAGGCGCCGTCATGAAGCGTTCGGGCGCTTGGCGAGCTGGGCGGGCTGGGCGGGCAAGAGTCGGCTGGCTTCCAGGAACCCCTGGGCGCCATGTAGGACGACATCGCGGAGGTCTTGCGGCTCCGCTTCTCCGCGGAGGCGCCGTCGACCTCGTGGGAGACCCCTGGGCGATTGATTCCCCGCGGCAGCGCAGAAGAAATCCTAAATGCCGTCGCTGCACTGGTGTGCATCTCGGGAGCACCTTCTCGTTCGTGTCCTTGGGTGCGCCATGCTCCCCGCTTCCAGGGCCCGTCGAGCGGTTCCTCCCGTCGAGCTGCTATTTCGCGCCCGCTGGCTTGGACGAACTCTCGAAAGTGCCCTCGATCGGCTAGGCGCCTGCACTCCGCCTTTTTTGGGCAAATCCGTCATGCCCAAGGCGCTCACATGGCGCCACACCTCGCTGGTGTTTCTCGCGCGAGTCGTCCGGTCTCACCCCCACGGGCTCGACGTTGTGCTTCCCGCCTACGGGAACAGCGTCGGCGTGCGCGTTCCAGTTAACTTCTGAGACCCCGTCGGCCAAACCTTTGGTCGTACCGAGCCTTCGTGGCCAGGGCGTTAGAAGGCTAATCTGTAGCATGGGCGCACGCAGGAGATCACTACACGTGAGGCTATGGCCCCCCGCTCTCAAGGGCGAGCTGGGTGTGTTCGCGCCGTCTAGCTCCTCGGATCCAATGCCAGATGCGTCCCACGGCAGCGCGGATAATTTCCAGCCCCGCGGACGCCCTGAACCCCAACACGGGCGCGACTCAATGTGCGTGATCCTTCGGTTTATCTTTCCCGAGAGCGGCAAATTTCTGGGCTGTCCGACTTTCTGTGCGCCGCTTCCGCATGCGAGCCCACCATCGTGACCAACAGCCTGGACGCGTTGTGCCAGGTAAAACGTGATGCTGCCGCCAATGGCCGCGAGAACGACTTTGTAACACATGGAGGTCAACTGCCGTTTTCTACACTCAGTGCGGATTTGGATTTCGAGACGTACGAAGATCTCACTACCTGGGGCATAATTGGCGCAGGTGCCAGCAGTAAAGATGAAGCCGATCCTCTAATGACTGGCGCTTGCATGCCCGCTGTGGAGGACGCCATAGTATTCAAGATCCAATTCTATGAGACAGCGACTTGGTGTTTACTTAGTGGTTTCTCACTTACGATGACGGCGAACGACCCATCATGGAAACGTCCGACCCGGCAACCTCCAAACATCTGAGCCGTACCTACAGTAGAGCAGCTCACAGATGGTCCAAGGCAACCGCCTACGAGAGTGCCATGATTGAGGGCGCCACCCCTTTCCATTACCGCCCAGGCGGAACAGGCTCGCGATTGCCTAAACCTGAATCGTCTTAGTCATTCCTTCGGTGTTGTTCCTCATGTGCTCTCGATGGGACTCGCCAGCCCGTTGATTCAAGCCTGCGCCCACACCTCTATCCATTTCGGAAAACGTGTTTGTCAACAGCTTGCTGTTATGAGCACAAGTTGGCCATGGCACCAGCGCAATCAACAACCTACCCCTCCCTGCTTATCCATCTGTCCCTCCTCGCGACTCCTTCTCCTCCTCCTCCTCCTCCTCCTCCTCCTCCTGCTCCTCCTTCTCCTTTTCCTCCTCCTCATTCTGCCTGCCCCTTCACCCCGTGCTTCTCCTTATCCTCCTCATCCGAGTCGTGCTGATGTCCCTCATCCTTCCGCCTTCTCCTGCTCCTGCTTCTCATCCACGTCCTTTTCCTATCCTCCGCCCCATCTTTCATCATGCTCGCCCTCTTCCGCTGCTTCCGTGTCCTTCTCCCGTCCTTCCTCCGCGCCGCCAGCCTGGAGTCCGGGAAGCGCAGGGCCTCGATGGTACCTTGCTCTCGATCCACCTCCATAGGGGCGCGCAACGCGGGAACTAATCGGCAAAAGGAAACGAAGGAAGCCGAGTTGCGACGTGTACTCCTTCTCTCTCTGTCTCTCTATTATGTAGATGTGTGTATACTTGCACGAGCAAACACATGGAAACAACACCAGTCAAATGACGACCCCCGCCCACACTCGGGCCCACCCGAAACAACCCTCCAGCCAGCCCCCCTCGGCCAACCCCGAGAAGGGGCAATCTTCACCGAACATAAGATACTGCACGCTCAACGCCCATCACAAGAACATGCATTTGAAGAAACTGTAATTGAACTTCGCTGAATGCCTCAGACCAGGATGACCAACTTGCTTAACGCATTGGAGGGTATGACGAGTGGTGAAAGTAGAAACGTCCGTGCGATGTATGTGACAGTGTACGTAAGTGAGAGCTAGTGAGGGCACGTAGGAGAAAAAAATAGATGAGGATTCTGGTGAGTGAACAATAGAAGTTGCAAGTAGAACGTTAAGTGGATGTGTGAAGTGCACAATGTCGATATTTGAACAACAACTTATACTCATACAAAGGACGTATTGAGTGAGCCCACCATCCAACACCATGTTGCGAGGAACATGCAACCATAATTGCAAGATGTGAAGGTTATGTGAAGCGTTCGGCAAAACTCCTTCGCTGCTCAAGGACAGAACGATATGATTATGTATGACTCCAGAGACAATGAACACACGTATCAAATTTTGGGAGAATGGAACAAACGTGCTGTGCATTGTATTTGCAAGCGAGCTTTGTGATGAAGGAATATTGGATTAGACATTTGCAACACGAGAAAAGTGTGAACATATGAAAACAGAACCAGTGCAACACATCTTGGGCCAACGTTGCAGAACAAGCTTGCTAAACTATGCCCGACGTAGACACTGGACACTTGGGTGAAAGTGCAGGTGTGTTGAAACGTGGAGATTCGAGTGACTAGATCACGGAAGAGCTCAATGACTATTTATCGCAATTCATACATCGGAGGAGCAAATTACTGTGCCAATTGGAATGCACATTGCAATGCACACATCCACGTGGAGATTTAACTGAATCGGAAAACTCAAATCTTGAGCTCCAGTGTGACAGTCCAGGTGCAAGTTCAGCAGGAAGACTGCAGTAGAAGAGATGCTGGGACAATTTTGCAAGATCGTTGTTTTTTTTGTTTTAATGGAAGTTGGACGTCCAACTTGGGAGGGGGATTTATTCCAGACAACGCATGTAGAAATTCTGGTCAATTTCACTTCCAATCATCCCCAATTCCGGCCACGAATTCAAAATAAATGTAAAACTGGGAGTCGTCGCCTGGCTCTTCAGCCTCGGCCTCCACGACTGCGAGCATCGAGCCCGTGGACCTGCCGGGAAGGAGTTTCTCCGACACTGTCGCGTCCACCTCGCGCAACCCCCAAGCATAATTCTTTAAATTTAGGCGCCCGTGCGTCAGAGCCGTCAGATTCTGCATGCCGTGCGCGAAGAGGTGAGAACCCTCCTCACGGGGAGAGCCGCAGGTTGCTGGCCTCCGCCACGAAGAACTGGGACTCTCGACGGGCCACGGGATGGGTCAAGCTCTCCTTGGTGTCGCGTGCTGCCTCGAACAAGGCTTTCCTTCCAGCCCGGCGTCGTTCACCGCCTTCGCGCTCCCCGATCATAAAATCCATGCGCGGGAGCACTGTGTCTAGCCAAGCCTCGCTCGCCAAAACGGACTCTGGAACATCGTCGAAGCCAACCTGCGTATTCCAACCAAGCAACTTCAAGAAATTCCCACCTTTGCGCCAGACAGGGACGTCAGTCCCGTTGTTCCAACGCTTCAATGCCTTCCGCCATTGACGGTGGTGGCTCCACCCTGACTGGGCTGGTGTATCTGTAAAAACCACCCTTGCTTCCGTGAGACGCGTTTGACCACCAGCCCTTCTGCTACTGACTGCTGCTTTGCCGTGCGGATGTCGCCCCCTCTCGCTTACGCTCTGAGCTGTGCTGCTTCCACGCATCAGATGATGGGTCAAAGTCGTACTGCTTCCACGAGCCCACCCGAGCCACCACTCGTCGTTCTTGTCCTGCTGATCCTGGGCGGCCGCGATGTCTGTCGATGCTGCCGCTCCTCGATCTCGCGCCCCCTGCCAAGGATCTGCAGACTGACCGAGGTCTTCACGACCTTCTCCATGTGGTGCCTGCTTCTCAGGAGCTGCCCTCGTCCTGTGCTGGCCGTTTCCGAAATGATCCAGCTTGCCCTCGTTGGTCGTGGCCCCTGGAGTCGTTGCTATAAGCCTATGCCACATGGAAAAAACCGGGGGATAATAAAGGCCGGGGTCCCAGGCAGATGATAAATGCCGCCCCCAGCAACTGGCATGCTGGCATGCACGGGTGTACGTTGTTTGGATGTGCGGTGTGAGAGTGTAGTCGTCGTCGTCGCCGTCGCCGTCGTCGTCGTTGTCGTCGTCGTCGTCGTCGTCGTCGTCGTCGTCGTAGTAGTCGTAGTAGTAGTCGTAGTAGTAGTAGTAGTAGTAGTAGTAGTAGTAGTAGTAGTCGTAGTAGTAGTAGAAGTAGTAGTAGTAGAAGTAGAAGTAGTGGTAGTAGTAGTAGTAGTAGTAGTAGTAGTAGTAGTAGTAGTCGTAGTAGTAGTCGTAGTAGTAGTGATAGTAGTAGTAGTACTGGTAGTAGTAGTAGTAGTAGTAGTAGTAGTAGTAGGGTTAGTAGTAGCAGCAGCAGCAACAGTAGTAGTAGTAGTAGTAGTAGTAGTAGTGGTAGTAGTGGTGGTAGAAGAAGTAGTAGGAGCAGTCGAAGTAGTAGCAGTAGTAGCAGTAGTAGTAGTAGTAGTAGTAGTAGTAGTAGTAGTAGTGGTAGTAGTAGTAGTAGTAGTAGTAGTAGTACTAGTTGCAGTAGCAGTAGTCGTAGTAGAAGTAGTAGAAGCAGTAGTAGTAGTAGTAGCAGTACTAGTAGTAGTACTAGTACTAGTACTGGTACTAGTAGTAGTACAAGTACTATTAGTAGTGTAGTAGTCGTCGTCGTCATAGTAGTAGTAGTAGTAGTAGTAGTAGTAGTAGTAGTGGTAGTAGTAGTGGTAGTGGTCGTAGTAGTAATGGTAGTAGTAGTAGTAGTAGTAGTAGTAGTAACAGTAGTAGTAGTAGTCGTAGTGGTAGTAGTAGTAGTAGTAGTAGTAGTAGTAGCAGTACTCGTGCATGCAGTAGTAGTAGTAGTAGTAGTAGTAGTAGTAGTAGTAGTAGTCGTAGTAATAGTAGTAGCAGTAGTAGTAGTAGTAATAGTAGTAGCAAGAGTAGTCGCAGTAGTTAAAGTAGTGGCAGTAGTGGTAGTAGTAATAGTACGGGAAGTAGTAGAAATAAACACCAAATAGCAACTAGTGATCGTAGCAGCTTTAATAATGGTAGTAGTACTACTGGATAGTAGTAGTAGTAGTAGTAGTAGTAGTAGAAGTCCTAGTAGTAGTAGCACAAGTAGTATCAATAATACAATGGTATAGCGTTGTACGGTATAGTATAATGTAACATATAGTTCAACGCAGTAGATACAATTTACCTGTAGTAAGAGTAGCTGCGAACGTAGAAATATCAATCGCAGTTGCGGAAACAATAGCAGTAGCAGTAGTAGTAGCAGTAGTAGTAGTAGTCGTCGAGGAAACAGAAACACTAGTAGGCGTTGTAGTAGTAGTGGTAGTAGTAATCGTAGTAGACAACGGTAGTAGTGGTAGTAGTCGTAGGAGGAGGAGGAGTAGTAGTAGTAGTAATAGTAGTATTAGTCGTAGGTCGTAGTCGTCATCGTAGTCGTAGTAGTAGCCGTCGTCGTAATAATAATCGTCGTTGTCGTCGTAGTAGTCGTAGTAATACTACAAATAATCGCAAACGACAAGCATCAATCGTACTAGTGTGCAAATCAATGGTCATAGTCGTAATAACAGCATCAGTGGCCGTCGCAGTAGAAGTAGTAGTAATCATCGTAGTACTACTCGTAGTAATGGTAGTAGTAGTAGTAGTAGTA